CTTCCCCTCTCTGTTGTAATTCTCTTTTCAATTGCTTTCTAACATTGTACCTTTTTTTCACCCTATTTTTCTTTTTCTTAGTTGTTTTATTAAATCTTAAATTCTCATTTTTCCTTCCTCTCTTCCCATTTTCTTTCTTAATCAAACTTTTTAGTCCATTAAAGATGGCTTCTTCCTTTTCTTCTTCTTCTTCTTCTCCTTCTCCCTCAAGTATTTGCTGGTACGTAGAAACCGCCATTTCTAAAAAGTGGAAGGCAGCTCCCAAGGAATCCTTGCCATTTTGCTGTCTTTCTTTTAATTTTTCATATTCCATTTTTAGTTCATCCACAGATAGTGCCATTGTAATTTTTTAAAAACAACTCAGATGTTTTCAATCTTAAAGTAATTTCCAAATGTCAAAGTTATCAAACAATCCAAACAAATAAAAATTATTTCCTCTTCTTCTCTTTACAATTTTTCCTCCAGGGGCAAAATCCCAAATGTATTTTAAAAGCCATATTACAGTTAATTGATGGTCTTATAATCTTCAAGGCGTCTCCTCCAACAAAGTTTTAAATATTTTTTTTTTTAGTCCTCTCCTTCCCACTTGTAACGAAGAGCTTATTTTTACCTTTAAAAAGTAGGTTTTTCTGGGCTCCTTTGCTTTCTCCGTAAGGAAGGGGAGTGAACTTTCCTTCAGCACTTTCGCTGTTGTAACAAATTCTTTTGGAAACAAATGTATCAATCCAAAAGTCAGGTTTCCAGGGTGTTTTGAAAGTAACTTAATGTCCTGGTTCAGCCAAGAAAACTTCTTCTGGCTCTTCCTCCTGCACAATCTTATCTGGTTGAAGATTTCTTTGTGGCTGCCATTACTGACAGCTGCTCCACCACCTCAGGAAAAAGGAGTCTAGCCAGCTGGGGAAAGGGGGTGGGATATCCCCAGACCCCTGCCCGGATCTCCTCTGTCTTCCACTGCCCCTTCAGGGCAGCGACAACCCCCAAATCCAGTTGGATTGGGGGTACCTCAGCAGAGAAGCGGATTCCTGCTGCCGCCGAAGCCTTGCAACCGGAAGTCCATCAATACAGCTCCTGATGGTTTAGAATCATCTGTCACTTGCTGGTCCAGTAAAGAAATTCAAATGCCATCCTGGAGGGTTGCCTATTTATTTTATATCAATTCATTTTTATTACCATTCATATTCATTTATGTCTTAAGTCCAGCTCAAAAAAGTGATTTTTCTCCCCTCCCCCAATTTTAGACTCAGTCTGATATGTCAGATGAAGAACTGAATGATGATCTTCTGCAAAGTGATAATGAAGAGGATCAGCATTACAGGTTTGTGTCTTATTTGAGCCAAGTATTGTTTGTTTTCTCTATTGGCACATTCAGAATATTTGTTTGTATTCCTGCCTTAGAACAGCACATAAAAAGTGCTGTTGGGTGTAAGAAGTATTATCTTTGAGGCATTAACCATGATTTTATCATTTGTTACAACATCATTTTATCTATGAGTAGAGAATAGAATAGAATAGAATAGAATAGAATAGAATAGAATAGAATAACAATTGGAAGGGACCTTGGAGGTCATCTAGTCCAATCCCCTACTTAGCCAGGAAACCCATTTCAGACAAGTATATAAGAATTAAACTCATTTTTGGCTGGGTATTAAAACAGAAAATAATGGTGGTATAGGACCACATTTCCCAGATGCATTCTTTTCAGAATTGTGGTAACCTCCTCCAAAATTTTAATTGCTTCTAGGGATTCCTTAGGAATAGCTATTCTAATGTGAGTTTATAATTACATAACTTTTCTTTAATATATATATACCATTAGGGATGTAATTATTGCTAAGTGTAACTGATTAAAATAATATTTTGGTTAAATGCTTCCAAGAAGAAATAGGATGTCTGGTTTGCTACATAATCTTAACTGCAAAATTGAATTAAGAACTGCTGTTTTATTCATTTGTGTTAAGAATACACTTGCACAATTATCCCAGAGGTGCTTTTTTAAAAAGGCAACTGGACTTTCTTCATTTTTACTTGAAGATGTTTTGCTTCTCATCCAAGAAGTTCTTCAGTTCTAACTGTGGTTAGAAGCAAAATGTCTTCAAGGAAAAACAAAGGAAGTCCAGTTGCCTTTTGGAAAAAGCACCTGTGGGACAATATGACTTGGATGACTGAGAATCTCTGTAGACATTTGTAGAATTATTTGGCTTTCTTAAAAAAATGAAATAGCTCTGTTGAATTTCTTAGGTACATTGTTGGTATATTTTATCTTTTCACCCTCCTATTTGTTTTAAATACACATCTTTCCCCATCTTCTTGTTGATGGAGGGAAATAAAATCATTCTACCAATGAGCCTCTGCAAAACTGAATATGTACACCCATACAGAAAATCTATATAGATCAATGTGATTGAAATTAGTCCTATTAGAAGATTGCTTGACACATTAAACTAAATAATTGTTCTCACTTTCTCATTTGCATAATGATTCAGTCATGATGTTTCATAGAAAAAATTGAGTTACAACCATCTTTAATCAATTCTGCCTTTGCTAAAAGTTTCTTGGCAAAGCAGAATTACTAATTAAAATATAGCAAACCACATATAATATCTAGATCATATTTCTATTTCTGATATCACACATAACAACAGAACAGTTCTGACTCTGAACTCTTTATTCAGGACTCAGCTTGCCCTGAAGTGGCTCACATATAATAATGATTGAATTGGGTCTTTACATCCAGGACAGAGCTGCATCTTTGAGACCTGACTTTGAAAGCATCACTGCCTTCTAATTCATTCATTTCTGTGACTTTTGCATATTGTGGTTTTTGGGATTGACAACTTGAATTGGCATTGGGAAAATCCAAGTTTAGTTCTACTTTTGGTCATGGCAGCTCACTTGGTGACTTTGAACCAATCTCTCTCTCATCCCACCTACTTCACAGGATGGTTGTGGGGAGAAAAATGAAAAAAAAACAGGATATAAACAGATAAACAAAACCCTGATAAATCATTTTTGGAGAGATATTAAAAAGAAACTTTTACATAATTATTACTTTATCTACCACAAGTTGGTATATTTTAATGAACAAAAAACATTTTTTAATTTGCTGAATTAATAGGGTTTTATGGAATTTTTTTATCAGAACATCTGTGATTCCTTCTCAGAATTTAGGTAGGAGCTATTGACACAATTCAAATTGAACATTTGTTGCTGTTGATGCTTATAAGAATTAAATGCAAATTCTAGCATGATGCAGTATATTCAAGCACACCCTTTTAAAAATATTTCTTTAGAGTACCCTAAAATTCAAAAACATTGGTTCCCAGTAATATTAATGTAACTAGTAAAATAGATAACTAATATTGCACTAAATGGGAAACAGATGCTGACCTCCTGTGTATATTTGTTAACCTGGGATTTAAAACTGAATGCAACTTGCTCAGTAATCTCACACTTTATGCCAGGATAATCTGTTAGAACATATAGTTGGTTTGATCCCTTTAGTCAAATAGCCATCATTTGATGGAACAGTGGTATAGATTTGCATGTTATGAGTTAATGGCATGAAATCAAATTGATGCATCAATTATTTTTACTTAATGTGGTGGATATTGTTGCATTCTATGCAAAATTCATGCACTGTATTAATGTTCTGATTTAAACTAAAACCCCTTTTTTTGCTATATTTTAGTTCTCAAGATGTCACTGTGAGTCTTACTGCTACCACTAACGTGGTGACATCCTTTGAGCTCACTGAGAATGCTAATGAAATATCTATTGAACAAAACTTAGAATATGAACAAGGGGAAGATGAAATTGGTTATGACAAATCAGATGTTCCTGAAGAATATGCAGAGGAATATTCAGATGAACAGTATGAAGGCCAAGAGGCTGAGTTGACAGAAGACCAAATAGAATATGGGGAAGATCAGGGTGAAGAAGAGAATTATAATGATGAAGTGCTGGATCTTGAAATCAATGAACCTCTAGATGAATTTCCGGTGAGTTTTTTTCCTCCTACTTTAGTTTTTGAGATAACATTGCTGCACATGCTCAGGTTTTTAGACTGATTTGAAATCTGTTTACCTCCCTTGGGACCAGAGCAAAATTAGACCTATTATCACTGTCTGCCAGTTTCTTTATCTAGGCTGTGACAAAGTTTGTGTTGACAGCTTGTTTGGCTGCAGGTAATGCTCTTTTGTCATTCTGGAAGGCAGTTGAGAATCATGACCTTGAAGATTGTATCCTTAAGGAAGAAAACAGCTTTGTGTGGTGGAGACGCAGTGCCAATTGTTAGAAGTACTTAATGCAAAAGCTTTTATCCAGGCTTTAGACAAGATCTGATAAAGTCCTTCGAAGGTGAAAAGATTATTGACCTGCTAAAGACATCTTTAAGGTGCTAATATTCCAAAGTGATTGATGTTCTGCTCACTCATTTACACCCTCCCCTTTTTTTGTAATTGAGAACTGTCTAAACCTGAATAAAGAGATTTGAGGTTGCTTTAGAACATGTCACATATATAATTTGTTTCAGTTTCTATGTTTTCTGTGTACATTGCTCCGAGTTGAAATGAGAACAGGTTTATTGCCATTTTTTAGAAGTATTTCTCAATTTTAAAAATCTAGCGAATGTAAATGGATTTATCGGTCCTTTATCTTTGGTTTAAAGCCTAAATCGCATAATGCTGTACGTGGTTCTTAGATTCATAAGACATAAATAATTAATGGGAAAGTACATTTCATGGAAAATAAAGGTATTGTATTACTCTCAAATTAATTGATTATTTAATTAAAATATGAAATCCTACATTTTAAAGGAATTAATGTGAACCATTACATCAATGTGCTATGTAAGCTGCCTGGAAGCAATTAATTTTCATTTTATGGAATATAAGGTATATATGGTTTAAGTAAATAGATGTAATTTTTTCCTAGCTTGCATGTTTTAAAAACTAATAATTATAGTAATGCTGATGTTATGTTTTAAATTTCAAGAGATTTCATCTTCTAAATTATTGATACAAAAAGTAAATAGCTACCTCGTATGGATATGATTTTAAATATGATTTTGGTTTAACCTATATGAAAGTAGTGTTATATTTCACCCTTCATAACCTTTTTATAATCATGTAGATTCCAACTTCTCATCCTTTAAAGTTTAAGTTTCAACAAGGTATAAAGTTGTTGTCATGGTTAGTATTATAATTTCTCTTAAGCACCATTCACCATTTAAATCCTAATTCACAGATAAAAAACTAATCTCCACAAATCAGCTTTATATTTAAGGTAGATTTAAGATGCTGGAGATAGAAAACGTACAGAAGTATGGAAGTTTGTGACTTTTTTCCAGTCAGATAATCAGGCAAACAAGTTGAGAAGATTGCATTTATACCAGCCACTTCTGAATAAATAAGCAGTGATATGTTTAGAAAATAAAATTAGGTTAAATGAAAGGCTTCATTATGCATTTCTTTCAGGATGAAGATTATGTACAATCTTGTAGTGGAGAACAAGTAATTGAACAACAAGAATATGTAGCTGAAGAAGAGTTAAAAGAGGTTGCTGATACCCAGTCACCTCCAAATGAGTCAGAAGAGGTACTGCAGAAAAGCTGGAACATTAAAAAATCAAATTTTAGATAGAATTTTTAGTTTGGTATTTATCTTTGACATTGCTTTTCTCAATGTTCCTACTGGAAAGTAGCTATAAAGAGAAATTATAACCCTATGCTAACTTTTAGCAGAGTTATATACTAGGATGATCAACATTCCTGAAGGCTCATTTTCAGGGAAAAACATGAGATATGAAGGCAAGCGGTATACAGGCTTCTTGTGTCACAACTGCTTCTCCTTTTGTTTCTCATTTTTGGCAGCCCTTACAAATAGCGTTGGAGTTACAAAGTCCACTCCAGTCATCAGCCAAATATTTCCTTTTCGTTTCGTATCATATCTGAATTTCTTTAACCCCCTCTGTAGCAGTATTTTTGGGACAAGAAGGAAATGCACAGTACTTTCTCCCTTCTTTAATCTCTGTGACCAGAAATTAAAAACTGCTTAGCATTATACCAGAACTAACTGTTCTGCATTGAAGTATCTTCTGTTTGATATAAAATCCTTGATCATTTTTCACTTTGTTCTTTGTGGGAACAATGTCACCTTTTTCTAGCATTCCTTATATGTAGTTGAAACAGTTTCATTCATCTGCATTTGCTAGCAAGTAGATGTAAAAAACAACAACACCAAAACCACAAATAACAACAGCTCAGTTGTGCTTGAGTGACATTTTAGTGAGCCAGTCTTCTACAGTTTTCTCTTGAGACTTCTCATTCCCTGTTCAATTTGATTTCCTTCCCCGTTGCATCAAAGGAAAAACAGTCTTAGAAGCTAGTGATGAAACTTGAATCTTGGCCAGATATTTAATATGTGCTGTATACCGTATGCTCCATTCCAAAAGAATTCTGATCCTTGACATTTCAAAACTGGCGGATGAACAGATGCCTTGCTAGAAGATAGAGACAAGAAATTTAGAGTGACTTAAGGCAGCCGTCCATGAGAATACCAGTTACTACCTGAGCAATAAGTTTATTTTTCTGTGATGCATTTATTTTATTTTCTTCTTCTACAAGAGGCTAGCTGCCACTCTTAGCTTTCACTGGCTGTATTTGAGGGAAGGGATTATATTTGGATTTAAGGTTTTCCTCATCCTCAGTTTCTTTTGAAGCCAGGAGTGGGAGCTTTAGCAGGATTGTTTGACAGGCAGTTCATTTTTTTTCCTCTATCACCTTAAAATAAGGGCTCATCATCCAAGTTAGTGTATTCCTTAGAATCCTAGTTAGTTTACTTGGTATTTAAATTCTATGATTTTCTTCTTTTAAGTATATTGAAGCACTTCCTACAACTAAAAACACTGTGCTGTGTAGATTAAATGTAGAATTGTAAGGTTTGAAAAAATATCTTACAGGCACCATAACTAATACATAGCACTGATTTTTTTTTTCTTGTTTCAATCATTCCTAACAGATTAATTTCAATAATTGAAGAAATGTAGCCTACAAATACCCAAACACTATACCATGCAAACTGTAAAATACCATTTTATGGCTTTCACCACACAGAGGAATTTTGCCAAAGTCATCCAGTTATAAATGATATAATTGTCTTCCACTCAAATGTTATTTCTATTACACATCCAATAATTTTATTAACTTGTTTACTCTTTTGTTATGCTTTGCGGGAGGTTATTCAGTTACAGAAAGTAAGCAGTGTGAAAGATTTCCAAACTTCCTTTAAGAATTGTAGCTGTGGTCCTGAATACATTAACTGTAATGGTATATGGGAAAAGTCTTGAGAGATGGGGGGAGAAGGGAAGAGACACTGCCTCAGGAAGGGTCAGATGGGGTATCAGCCTGCAACTGCATAATGGACAGGGAAAGAGCCTCTCCTAACCTCTCAGACTATAAAAGAGATGGTGGGACATTTGTATTTTCAGGCTCTACCTTACAATAAAGTAGTATTAATTCACCTGGTCATGTTTCCTGCCTGTTCTGCCTGGGAAGGCTGACATTCCTTAATTTTTCCACTTAATTTCAATGAACATTGCTAACACGGCAAAGAAACAGCCATTCAGTTTTAATGCAGCATTCTCCTTTTATACATTTTTAGCCTGGAAAAATTCTTACACTACGTAGACTTCCCCAAGTTATTTTTCAATATTGCAACCTGGTATTCGTCCTCCTGAACTCATAATAAGAAATGCAGCATTCTCCTATCTTGACATGAAACACTGATCTTTAGTTTAGTATAGACTTCCATGACAGTGATTAAAGAGATATATTTCAAAAACTTACAGACAAGATAATGTATGTTCTGAAGTGAAGGCGCTTCCTGGATGAGAAGCGAAACATCTTCAAGGAACAAAAAAAAATCCAGTTGCCTTTTGGAAAAAAAGCACCTTTGGGAAAACCATGGTCTGGATGAGTGAGATCTCCATAGACAAGATACAAAGATTGTAGTTTTGCCTGTAGCTCCGCAGTGAAATCCACTGCTCTAGATATATGGCTACTATGAATGTTATTTCTATAAGGGTATTTCAGAGTATTAGCTCTTATGAGTAAAACCTTTTGATTCCCAAGATCAATTTTGATGCCATTTTTCTCTTTCCTTGCCTGTCCTAAAATTGCACAGTTTTGTAAAGTGGTTTAGCCATAATTACTATCAGCCGGATTTGAACATGGATTAATTTTTTGCATTCTTTTTAAAAAATCACCCTTTTTATATTCCCCATAGTGAAATCAATTAAATTTCACATAGTGCTATAATATTGAACAGTATGTGATTTTTAAGAAAGACCTGTGGTTTATTATTGCATGGTGAAATTAACATTCAAAGATCTTGACTTAGAGTTGCTTAGATATGTATAGACAGCTGATACTTGATGCACGCTAATTTATAGTTTTTTTGATTGCAAACCTTGTAAATATGTAAGATCAGCATTTGATTCTTTCCTCATCTGTTACAGGCAGTTATTGAAAATCTGGAGTTTCAAGAAGAGATCAAAGAAGAATCAGATGAAGAGGAGGAAGATAATGAAGAATCTGGTCGATTACGGTTCAAAACTGAACGTAAAGAAGGAACAATTATTAGGCTATCAGATATAACAAGGGAACGAAGAAACATTCCAGAAACTTTGGGTAAGACTTTAGATGAATGGTTAAGAAAACTAGATATTTGTTTGGTTACAATAACAACAGAGGAATAATAAAAATATAAATAACTGGTGAAGGTGTGAATTATAAGCAGTGAGGCTGATAAGTTTGTGTGTGTGGGTATGGGTGTGTGTGTGTGTATATATATATATATTGCAGTTCAAGAGCATTTTTATAATGTGTACAGAGAGTTTTCCTTGGCATATGTATATTCAGTGACCATTAAGGTGCTTAAGTTATGGCAGAGTTGAGAAAAATGGAAGAACAGTTGGTGTTCAGCTATATTCCAGCTATCACACCATCATTGTGATACAGGTGCTATAATGCAGTGGTTGCCAACCAGTGGGCTGGGGACCACTGGTGGTCTGTGAGAAAATTTCGGTGGTTCGCAGAGAAATGTTCCCCCCAAAGCAGTTAATCCAGGCTGTGTGGGAACACAAGGCTGCGCTGCCCACATGGCCTTCCCACCTGCTAGCCCCCACTCTTTGGCCAAGCAGAAACCTTATCTTGAGTAGAGCTGTGTGAGCTGGAAATGGAAGGGAAGACCAATGGCAGGAGAGAGAAATCCGCCCCAGGGTGGCTTGCTGATATTGGTGGAAAAGTCGGTCCCCTATTCCAGAGCTGCAGTAGTCACAGGACTGGCCATCTGGTCATCCCGGAGCAGCTCCTCCAGTCCATGGCAGGCCGGTGCACCCGGGTGGAGGAGCAGCTGCTCTGGGATGACCAACGGGCCAGTCCTGTGACTACTGCAGCTCTGGAATATGGGACCGACTTTCCCACCAATATCAGCAAGCCACCTTCAGTCAACATTCATATTATTGGTCTGCGGGATGTAAAAGTATGCGTTTGGTGGTCCCTGAGGTCCAGAAGGTTGGCAACCCCTGCTCTAGCGACCAGCTGGCATTTATGATGTTGCAGGGAGGCACGATGATGTAAACGGTGACCTTCACTGCCGGCTTTCCACAAGCAAAATCAATGAGAAAGTCAGCCGGGAATGTCACAAGTAGTTCCATTTAGTCTCTCCTGCTGCTTCTACCCCCCGGAACCCCCCTGTGGCTGATGTTAGCCATTTCCTGATCATGCCTTGTCTTGCACCGGCCCTCCCTCTTGGTGTATGACTGTCCCCATGCTGCTTACCTCGAACCCTCACAGCTTCCCACTTAGCAAGCTGTAAACATTGGGCTTACAACAACAACCTGTATTGCTAGGATTGTTCTTGCTAAGCAGTGTGTACCTGTGATGTGCTTTACCACCGCATCGAGTAACAACTGCAATTTTGGTCTCAATTGCCATTGTAACTTCAGGACTATCTGTATTTATTCAGGATGGGAAGTTGTTAAAGATTTTGTGGCGGTGTTGTATGTGTAAAATAATATAAACCGGTAAATTTAGATAGGTCTTGTCCTTTCTAATATGAGAACAAACATGTTAAGGTGTCACACAACGTCTGCTCAGCTTCAGGTCAAATCTGCTTTTCTGTAAGGACTGGCTAATTAAGGATGCTACTGTTGAAAGAAATCTAAGATTGATGTCATAGAAAGGTGGAATCAGGCAGGTTTAGTAATGAATTATTTAGAGTCTCAGCATGACATCTTGTGAAACTATACACAAACAGGACTTCTTTTGAAGTGTCCCGTGTTACAAGTTCAATATGAAGATACATTATACTTTTCTAACAGAACATGTTGCTGTAAAACTATTGCAGGAGTACGTTTCTTCTTTCATATTAGAGACAAGGCCATATTCATTGTCTGGTCTGATACCTCGTATACAAGTAATGTAGATATTTCATGTTTTGTGAGTTGAAAGCCTCTTGAAGAAATTCTGCTATTTTACAGATTGACAGAGCAGGTCTATGAATTACATGAAATGATGACATCGTGTGTTGTTCATCTGAGGTTATCTTCAGGGGTGGGATTGTACCGGTTTGGACCAGTTGTGTAGAACCAGTTGCTATGACTTTGCGCAGTTCAGAGAATTGGCAAATAGTGCCTCCGGCTGGCCCTGGCCCTCTCAGCCCGCTCCTCCCCTCCCAGTCAGTCCTTATCGTGCACGCGCAACATTGCGTGCATGCTCGACATCGCTGATTGCGTTCTTCTCCACCCAGTCACTCCTTAAGGTATTTCTTCCCCTCCCTCCGATGATCAGCTGTTCCTATGATCAGCTGTGCCGGGATTCCCCTCGCTTACTTACTGCTTTGTCCAGGAGGCTTCCCTGAGGCCCAGGAATGCAAAAAATGGAGGGGGGCACAGCTTCCCGGGAGCAAAAATGCCCTTCCCAGGAGGCTTCCATGAGGCCTAGAAGGCCCAAAAATGGGGGGGGGGGGGAGTTGCCAAAAAGAAAAAGAAGCCATGCCCACCCAGTCACATGACCATGGCCACCTAGCCACGCCCACAGAACCAGTTACAAAATTTGAATCCCACCCTTGGTTATCTTTACCTCTTTTTAAGAACTAAAGATGAGAAGAATTTTAGTATGTCCTGATATGTAAAACCAAAGAGGGTGTACTTTTTCACATGACTATATGTGCCTCTCGTCTTTAGCTTAATTCAGAAGTAATAAAAATAATTAATAGTAAATAATAAATAACAAAAACAATTTTAGAATAAACCATATATTTCACACGGACTAAACGAAGCTACCAGTTTGAATGTCTATGGAGATTCTCAGTTGTCGTGGTTGTCCCAAAACTGGTTTTTCAAGAGGCAACTGGACTTTCTAGGTTTTCTTTTGAAGACTTTTCGCTTCTTCTTTTTTTCTTGAAAATGTTTCACTTCCAAAGAAACATTTCCAAAGAAGAAGAAAAAAACTCAGAAAGTCCAGTTGTCTCTTGAAAAACTATCTTTGGGACTACCAGTTTGAAACATCTTTCATATTCAGTATATCTGAACTACCCATTGCTGGGGATTATTGAGCCATACGACATCAAACGCTACCTATGAAATAGCAAAAGTTGTTGGGCTTTGCTCAGTGGGGCAATCCTCCAACCTGCCTCCCCCTCCCATCAATATCCCCACATTTCTTTTTTTCCAGATTTTATGTGGTTAGAATTGTTGGGAGTTGTAATTTACAGATAATCCTTGATTTACAGGTATAATTGGGCCAGAATTTCCATGACTAAGCAGGGTGGTTAAATCATTCCCATTTCATAACTGTGCTGTACAGACAGTTTAGCGTTAATGGGATTTGGGATAGTTAGTTAGGAATTGTGAGCTGTCCCCTTAAGGGAATGCATCATGGTAAATGAAGTTAAGGTATCCTGGGAAATGTAGTCCATGTCACGTGGTCGCATCTGTAATCCAGATTGGTCACTAAATTGACCTAGGTCGGGGGAGATCTCCCTCACTATTGCCTGAAGCCATTACCATGGGGCTGCTTCAATCATCATGGGGTTGAGACTTTATTCTCTTCCTACACCACAATTCAGATATGCAAAGGATCAGATATAAGAACCTCATCATAAATGTGAGTTGACAGGATGCCTGATGAACCAATAAAAAAGACTTCATGTGGATGTTTTGTGGAGTTTATCTATCTGCCTTTGTACAGTATTTGTACAGGACAGGCAGAATAATAACCTTTTTGCTAAGGTTGTTAAATGTGGGCCTTAAATTAATCTGCCTTCTCTCATTGATTTCACTTGTTGGAAACTGATTGGTTATAAATGGCAGTCGGCAACCATCCTAAATAGATGCCAGTTGCCAAGCATCCACATTTTGGTCACATGACCACCACATGGATATGCTGTGATGGCCGTAAGGGTGAGGACCAGTTGGAAGCCACTTTTTTTCAGTGCGTTGAAAGTTTGAATGACTCCTAAATGGGATGGTTGTAAGCTGAGAACTAGATGTTATATATCAGAGGGACCTCATAGGCAATTCTAAATCCATTAGGGTGATGGAATCTGGAGCATTAAGTGAGGGGAGGAGTGAAAGATTTGGTAACTTGCTGAAGGGGAAGGAACGCCTGAAGGGAAATTCTCCCTAAAACTTTTCAGTGTTTTTCTAGTAGTTAGTTCTGTAGCGAGTGCACAAATCTGGGGAGATTCAAGGAACCAGAAATGAAACGAGCAAACCAGAGTGGTATGTTTATTGTTATTTGCCTACAGACAACCACTTTGGGTTAAGCCTGGAAAGATTGATAATTTATAGTGGGTTGCTTTGATAATGGAACATTTGGAGAGTATAGATTCAGCTGCGGGGAAAAAAATCTGTCTCAGGTGATTTTTAAGAAACTATAGGGGCAAAATTTATTGTGCTTAGCTTTTATTGGGCAAAATTCCTTTTTTAATTTTCAACCTCTTGACTGAAAGATACAAGATTAGCAAGTCTATATGGAAGTATCTTTAAAAATGTTTGGAAATACTGATTATTTATTTGATAGCTTGTTTCTTTGCTTTCATAAATAATGGTATCAAAATACTGTAGCAATAAAAATAACCTGGTGATATCTCATTAGTAGCTTGCAAATATGCAAGTTTTGCAGTTCCTATTCAAGTTTTTTTTTCCTGCAAAAAGCCATTGTTAGCTGGAGCAGTTAAGCGATCTGCAATAATTGTTGTCTATTAGTGAAAAATGTAGTAAAAGTGGCGTAATAAATATTACTTTCTTTCAGGACTGATTGCTCTTAATAAGAATTATGGGTATAGAAATGGAATTCCATTGAGTGGTTACAACTTTTACTTTAACATGTAGACGTAAATTGAGAAAACACTTAAATAGAAATTAATATTTTAGTTGAAATTCCAAACGTAATTTCCTTTCTGTCACTTTTTGGTGACCTTTCATGACAGGTTGTCTCTATTGGAGGAAAGCATCCTTACTTGCTGATTAAAGATGGCATTTGAAACCATTTTATTACCAAGGGTAGCCAAATTAATTTTGACACTTGGAAGGACGAGAGGAATAATTGCTGATTCACTGAATTAGCTGTGTGTGAAAGAATTCTGCAGTAAAGATTGGATATGTGTTGGTAAAAATATGTTAAACATTTTTTCTTATGAATGCAGCAGAACCATATCTTAAATGCTGCTCTTTTTACATTAAAAGGAAAATCCCTTGAATTACAAGAATTTTAAAGCAAGTAAGTGTGAACATGAAATAGGCTATTTAGGGACAACAATTCAAAGAATCATATACAAAGAACAGAATAACAGAGTTGGAAGGAACCTTGGAGGCCTTCTAACAGATTTAACAGATAATCAGAGTTGGAAGGGACCTTGTAGGTCATCTAGTCCAACCCCCCACCCAAGCAGGAGACCCTACACCATTTCTGATAAGTGGCAGTCCAATCTCTTCTTGAAAGTCTCAAGTGATGGTGCTCCCACAACTTCTGAGGGCAACTTCTGTTCCATTGGCTGATTGTTCTCACTGTCAGAAAGTTTCTCCCTATTTCCAGGTTAAATCTCTCCTTGTTCAGTTTCCATTCTAGTCCAACCCTATAACATTTCAAACAAATTATTATCCAATCTCTTCTTTAAAACCTCCAGTGTTGGAGTACAGAAAACCACAATTTCTGGAGGCAAATCATTTTCTTGTGTTTTATAGAATAATTTTGAAATGAGTCCCATATTACAAAATACAGGTAGTTATCCTTCCCCCTGCAGCCATGTAATTCTGTTTGGACTCTCAGCAACTGGCCTGCATGTAGAGCTGTTTTCAGGATCCCACAGCCGCGCAACCAATTTTTCTGATGTTTTGTGCCGGAAACTGATGTTCGATTCCAGTTTTGGCAACAAAAAACAAAAAAACAACAAAAACCTTAACAGATGGCATGACTTATTTCTGGGATTTGGGCTCTGGGATTTGGGTTATGATCATAAATCAAGGACTATTTGAAGTTTAGGATTTACATTGTGAAATTGAGCATCAGAAAATGTCTCTGTGTATACACTGCTCAAAAAAATAAAGGGAACACAAAAATAAGACATCCTAGATCTGAATGAATGAAATATTCTTATTAAATACTTTGTTCATTACATAGTTGAATGTGCTGACAACAAAATCACACAAAAATTATCAATGGAAATCAAATTTAGCAACCCATGGAGGTCTGGATTTGGAGTTACACTCAAAATTAAAGTGGAAAACAACACTACAGGCTGATCCAACTTTGATGTAATGTCCTTAAAACAAATCAAAATGAGACGCAGTAGTGTGTATGGCCTCCATGTGCTTTTATGACCTCCCTACAACGCCTGGGCATGCTCCTGATGAGGTAGCGGATGGCCTCCTGAGGGATCTCCTCCCACACCTGGACTAAAGCATCTCCCAGACTGGACAGTCTGTGATGCAACCTGGCGTTGGTGGATGGAGCGAGACATGATGTCTCAGATGTGCTCAGTTGGATTCAGGTTTGGGGAATGGGCGGGTGAGTCCACAGCATCAATGCCTTCGTCTTGCAGGAACTGCTGACACACTCCAGCCACATGAGGTCTAGCATTGTCTTGCATTAGGAGGAAGCCAGGGCCAACCACACCAGCATATGGTCTCACAAGGGGTCTGAGGATCTCATCTCGGTACCTAATGGCAGTCCGGCTACCTCTGGCGAGCACATGGAGGGCTGTGTGGCCCCCTAAAGAAATGCCACCCCACACCATTACTGACCCACTGCCAAACCGGTCATGCTGGAGGATGTTGCAGACAGCAGAACATTCTCCATGGCATCTCCAGACCCTGTCACGTCTGTCACATGTGCTCAGTGTGAACCTGCTTTCATCTGTGAAGAGCACAGAGCGCAAGTGGCGAATTAGCCAATCTTGGTGTTCTCTGAAAAATGCCAAATGTCCTGAACAGTGTTGGGCTGTAAGTACAACCCCCACCTGTGAACGTCAGGCCCTCATACCACCCTCACGGAGTCTGTTTCTGACCGTTTGAGCAGCCACATGCACATATGTGGCCCGCTGGAGGTCATTTTGCAGGGCTCTGGCAGGGCTCCTCCTGCCCCTCCTTGCAGAAAGACAGAGGTAGTGGTCTTGATGCTGGGTTGTTGCCCTCCTCCACATCTCCTGATTTACTGGCCTGTCTCCTGTTAGCACCTCCATGCTTTGGACACTAAGCTGACAGACACAGCAAATCTTCTTGCCACAGCTCGCATTGATGTACCATCCTGGATGAGCTGCACTACCTGAGCCACTTGTGTAGGTTGTAGACTCCGTCTCATGCTACCGCTAGAGTGAAAGCACCGCCAGTATTCAAAAGTGACCAAACCATCAGCCAGAAAGCATAGAAACTGAGAAGTGGTCTGTGGTCACCACCTGCAGAACCACTCCTTTATTGGGGATGTCTTGCTAGCTGCCTATGCTTTACACCTGTTGTCTATTCCATTTGCACAACAGCATGTGAAATTGATTGTCAATCAGTATTGCTACCTAAGTGGACAGTTTGATTTCACAAGTGTGATTGACTTGGATTGTGTTGTTTAAGTGTTCCCTTTATTTTTTTGAACAGTGTATATAAAAGATTACATATGGTTTTTCGAATGCTGAATACTGATTTTGTTTGTATGCAATTTTTTTTTCTGATACCATTAGATGGGATGCGGGGGGCAGGGGGGGAGTATTTTATAGGCACTCTTTTCAAGTTATAAGTTTGCTGAAGGTAGTCAAAAATTGGAATAAATATTTGTGTGTGAAAGTGAAAAGACATATTACTTGCCCTGAACCTAAACCCGAGTCTTCCTTCCCTTATCATTCCCTCCCCCATTTTTGAATCTAACTGAGACCTAATTGTTAAAGCTGCAATTATTTTGATAACATCCATTATGTGGGTATAACATTCTCTAAGGAGGATTCTTGTCCCTTCCTTTTACTCTGGTTTGTTATTCTTCAGTGCCATTCTATTTTAAATGCTGATCTGTAAGGTACAAACTACTGGTAAATGGATTGGAGTTGTTCCCATTACCTGGAGAATACAGTTCTGTTTCAACAGCGAAAGTTATCTGTGACCCCTTTGAGTTTCACCTTCCCAGGCCTGATGTGCTGAATATGTGCTGGATAATGATGGCCAGCACAACAAGATGAACTTGTAAACTCAATTAGTTACTCTCCTTAAAATTGGACATCCTTCTGCATGGGTTTTAGCCTGAATTACCTATTTTTCAGAATGTTTTATGCCGTAGTTTTCAAGATTATAGTCAGGGGATAGAATGGACTACATAATTCTGAGTGAGCCAGTGAAGAAAGATTTAGAAGCAATGCTCCAATTACCAGACTTTATCTTACAAAAGTAAAGCATTTTTTCCTTTCTCCTTAACATGGAGAGTTCCAAGTAAAAAGAACAGGATAGTCATTTTATAGTTTTCTGTTAGTTAAAGGCATGCTACATATCTTTGTGAGAAGGGAGAAAGGAAGAAACAAGGAGTGTTTAGAATGGAATATTGCTCAGACTTTGTTTTAATATCAATATATTCTGGAATATTTTGAAAAGAAAGGTTGAAGCCTAACAATTTAAAGTAAATTAATAAAACTAAAATAAAAGCAAAATCAAAGTAAACTTATTTTTAAAAAATCAGTTATGAAATTATTCTTGAGAGAATAAAGAATTTTATAGCTGGAGTGTCAATAGGTGTTTCTATTTGCAAATTAAAAAGAGACAATCAGATTAACTCTTTACATATTAATAGATTGTCTTGATGTATGTGCCATGCTAATTGAATACGTTTACCTACATGCAGTTGTTGTAATGAGACTGTTATCAGTTCATAGCTCTTAATTCTTCTGGCAAATAGCAAATTATATTTTCTTTCATCTGATAGAACTTTCTGCAGAAGCCAAAGCAGCATTATTTGAATTTGAAGAACGGGAAAGACAGTTGAAACAAGGGCGGTATGGGTCCCGAAGAGGAGGAAGACGAGGAGGGTTATTGATGTGTCATGGGCTGGGAGAACAAAGAAGAGACATCAATGAAAGAGGAAGAATGAAGGATCACCGGCCTTCTTTACTGTCAACCCAGACAGCTATGACGGTACCCTAAATACAACAGTGATGGTTGGGATGGGATTCAAACGGTGGAAGGCCTGCTTAAGTTTAACTGCTTAAATGAGAATGCTTAATTCAGAGCCTTATTCTAGAGATTCTTAAAGTCAGGAGAATTGGTATTTACCACCTGAAGTTTTGCTTTATTTTGTTTTGTTTATTTATGTGTTTATTTTTATTATTAATAATGAGTAACTCATGGTGGCGAGCATGTACAACATTCCTTCCTCTTATTTTTCCCACAACAACAATAACAACCCTATGAGGTGGGTTGAGCTGAGAGAAAGTGACTGGTCCAAAATCACCAAGCCAGCTCTCAAGCTTAAGGTGGGGCTAGTCTTCTGATTTCTAGACTGGTGCCTTAACCGCGCTACACCAATTGGCTCTTTGGTTTTAGGATTTGTGAAGATCCGATTCTTGATACTTCTTGTAGTTCTGCAAAACATGTGCAGTGCCAGAGATTTCTCTTGCTCGTGTCTGTCTATGGATGTGCTTGAAGTGGTAATGTAAAATGGCTTTTTGATATAAATAAGAGGAACAATTTTTCGTGTCCTAATTCCATCATGACAACAGAGGAATCTTGTTGATAAATCTAAGTTTAGAATGCTGTGTGTGAGAAACTACTGCTAAGTTGTACCCAGGAATGAATTTATGTTCATTCCTTCCCTAGCCAAAGAGTTAGGATGTCTCCACTTTCATCTGTCCATTCCCCAAGAAAAACTGTAGTTTCTAGGCAACCTGTGAAAATGGAGATATTATCGGTAGCCATGAATCTGCTTAATCCCATAAAAAAGTCTCTTGTATTTTTTGTGGGGCAGTTTTTAAAATTTTTTTCAAGTAATGGAAGTTATTTTCTCTCTTTAATTTCAGACACATTCAGACAGGATATTTCACCATCCCATGCGGAATCTTTTCCAGCAGCAGCAACAATCACAACAACAGCCACAACAGCTACAGGGTCTGCTCCCTCTCCCCACTCAGCTTCGCACACCACCCCCTCCCCCTCAAGGAATTTGTATGCCATCCCAAGTAGACGCCCCAAGAATCCTGATGACTTCTTCAGCGGCATCCCAACAACCAAAAAACATACACATAAATCCACACTTCAAAGGAACTGTAGTAACACCTGTTCAAGGTAGGAATCTTTGCAAAGGAAGTCTAGTTAGACTACAGACATTGCTACAAAATGTAATGAAAAATGCCTATTGTAAAGCACATATTTGGATGTGAATATTTTTCATTTTTTAGAATCTCTGGAGGTACCATGAGAAAGAGATAGAAGCCAAGAAAGCTGCCATGTTGATCATCATCAACCATGCTAACCAATGTAGATCAAAGGTCTTACTTGCCAAAAGTTGGCTTTTGAAGTTGTCTTTATTTTTATAGCACTAGGTATTTCTGTGCAGAATTCCTTAGATTCATCCCCTGAAATTAGATGATGGGAAACTGGAACTGTAGAAAAAAATAATAAATGAAACAAATGAAATATAAATTTATATAAATTTAAACCAGGATTTGTATTTTTCTGCTGGTATTGTTACAAGATAAATTGTCCCAAAGGTGCTATTTTTTTTGTAAAAGGCAACTGGATTTTCTCTGGGCTTTTTTCTTTGTTTTTTTTTTTAAATCTTTTGCTTCTCATCCAAGAAGTTCCTTCAGTTCTGAAGAAGTTTCGTTCATGAGAAGCAAATGTTTTCTAAGAAAAAAAATCAAGAAAGTCCAGTTGCCTTTTGGAAAAAGCAACATTGAACAATTTTGACTTGGATGATTGAGAATCTCTATAGACAAGACAGCTTATAATAATGGTTTCTTTAATTCTGGTTGTTTTCCTGGTTGATTAATAAAACAAACCACATATTTTCTTTACAAAGAGTTCACACTGATCATTGTCTATCATTGTCTAGCAGAATAGGTGAAGGTTTAAGTGAGGAATTGTTTTTAAAACAGATAAAATTGTCTAAAGTTTTGTCTAATGACTTTAAGATATGATTCATAAATTATAATAAACAAAATATTAAGTTGCACCAATTTAAGGTCTCTTAAGGTTTCTTGCAGGATAATTCTGGTGCAAAAAATTTCCATTAAATCAAAGTGCTTTTGTAACTTAAGTGAGCAACAGTAAAAGCAGGGTGTATATATATTTTAAAAGCTTATTTCTAGAATAGTTAATTCAGTGCTTTTCATGCCTGCCTTTCTTTAGTTTTACTCCCCTTTCTCGTTTATGCCATTTGCAAAATTTTAAATTATTTAATTGCCTTATCTTAGGAGGTACAACGCAGTATGAACAGCAAGCCAATATAGAACATGTTTACTCAGAAATATATGCAACTAAGCTGAACTAGTCTTTATTTCCTAGTAAACCTACATAGTACTATCATGCATAATTGGATTAATGTGAATTAACTAATGGAATTGATATAATATCTGGAATTTTGGAAAATCATGATATGCCTCTGATGCCATGCTGTCAAGATTTTTGTCCCTCATTCAGTAATGTGTGAAACAAAACAAATATTTCAAATTGCCTCTGCCTTGTTTAATTTTGTAGCCTATGCCATCAGCATCCTAATTGCCCTGTTGCATGGTGTTAACACATTTTGTCTGCCTGCAGCTGTTGGGGAGAATGGGGGCAGCAGCTGCCTGTGAATGTGGTTGTATATGAAAATGGCCCGGAGTCTTGGCTAAAACAAATTGATTTAAAAGGTGTGCTCCTTGTTTTTAGTGCCCTTGCTGCCAGTCCCAACCCAGCCAAGACCTGCTGTAGGACCCCAGAGATTTCCTGTGAGTAGCAGCTGTTCCTTCTTCTCTGATATGGATAAGCATACATTTGTAAAGAAATATTAATATGGCAAATACAAGTGGTGCCAGTGAAATATAATTTTAAGGATTTGCAAATATTGACACTGATCTGTGAGCTAGAAAATTGTTTGTTAAATGCTTAAAGGTCAATGAATTTTTCAGGCCTGAATTAATTTTGTTTTAATTGTAAAAACTTCCAGTGGGGAGTTTAAAACACACACACACACATGCTGGCTGAGTTTAAAATAATAATAAGGACTCCATCCATACATTAGAGTCCTTTCAGAATAAATATAACTGGGGTTTTTTTTAATAAAAAGGCATTGAATATTGGGTATTTTTAGTGTAAATGTAAAGGATTTTATTATTTTTCTTTCATTGTATCTTTAATACCAGAAACTGATTTGCTGCTGGTGTCTTGTCACCTCTTTATCCCTTTTTTGGTCCCAAACCGAGTAACCAGGTGTTTTCCCTATCTAATCTACTACACTTGGTTGATTTGCCTTTCAATGTCATTGGATATTCCCACTTCTCTTCCCATTCATATTTTTGTAGTATGTAAATTTCCCTGATCTCCCCCACCCCTGCTTTGTATTCCTTGAGTTATGGTTTCTTCGCACTGTGCATCAAAACACATAACAGAAACATTAAAAAATGTTGCTTTCATTCACAAGACTAAATCATATTTCTATAACCTTTTTAGAATTGGTAAAACTAAAAAAATAATAATTCACATTTTAGATTAACAGTCAGAAATCGGAAAATATCATTTAGAAATATGGAAATGTATCCTCATAGTATTATAACCAAAAGACTGATATATTTTATTGCTTCTTTTTACTGTATACCACTTTTTAAATTTCAAAAATAATTAAACTAAATGTACATGTGATGAGGTGATTTTCTGTTTTAAATGCCTGCAAATCATCTCCTTGGTAGTTTGTTATTTTGCAGGAGTATGTCGGAATTACGAAGAATTCTAGTCTGGAAATACACAGTATGGTAGTATACATTAATTGCTCTTTATAGGTTCCTTATCATAGAAAAATGGTAAATGATTCGCTTAGCATCTGTGAACTGGGAAATGATTTGTTAGAAGAAACCAAGCCCTCCTTTCCAGTTCATACATAGTGCTAAATAAAACTCAGATGGAGCCTGATGATATTGTTCATGTACTGTGAAAAGCATAAGAAGTTGGCACTTTTATTAGTTACCTTATAATTTGTGAATTTTTGATAGAATTAATTTTCTTTTGGATCCATAATTGTTACATACTAGTCTTTATTTTTCCTAGAGAATGTACATATTTGAGACACAGGTCCTGAAAAAGCCTTTTAAAAATGTGTTTATCATGACTAAAGACATTTGACATTGCCTATAATTAATCATCCTGAGGATGGGGTATGACCAACCCACATTTTTAAGGTGCTGCTTTGTTTCCTAGGCATGAATCTTGTGAATACAGATGATGATTTTGGCTAGTATTGTAAGTTTCATAGAACAAATTCAGTTTTAAAGGCATAGTGCATCAGGATGTTTGAATAGAAGAATGAGCATATCTTCTGAATCCTTCAAGGGCCAGTTGGTAGACTTTATAAACCAATAAAACATGTACAAAATTAACATTATTTCAGTGAAACTTAACAAAAATGAGGATTTAACCATATTCTCATTAATATTTAATAAATATTCTCATTAATATTAATGAATAATATTTAGTATAGCCACTGCTGCTTCAGATAGTGCTGGTCCATGAGAAATCAGCTTGATGTTCATATCTGCTATATCTCTACTCTATTGCACTATTCATAGAAATTGGATACACAGAGAAAAACAAAATCACCATTAAATCTGAACTTGGGTAAAAAGGGCTATTCTTGATCCTTTTCAACTCAGTCAAGGGTGAATATCGTGGTAACAGGCAGATTTTGAGTCACAGAAAATGGTTTTCCTTTCTATTTGTTACCTAATTCTGGAAAAGATAAACCACCATTCCTTGAATCCATCGACAATGAGATTTTTGTTTTACAGTGTTCCATGTATTAAGTGAAAGAAATAAAACTAAAAGAACCAAAAAAGTCAGAGATTCTCTGGATCATTTTCAAACATCTGGTGAAGAAAGCATTTCATTCATTCATTCATTCATTCATTCATTCATTCATTCATTCATTCATTCATTTTACAGGCCACTCCAGTCTGAATTGAGTCTTGATTAGGGTACAATTCCCATTGCTTAAAGTCAGGATAAACATCAGTTTGAGGGTTTGCAGCTGGAAAGTGGTAGTGGAATTGTTTTCTGCAGATATAGTTACCTAAACTTGAATTCGTTTGCGTCAGGCACGCAAATTATTTCTTGTTGAGGAAGATATGCTTGCTGATTAATGCAGACAATGGTTGATTAACATTTTTCTCTCCTCAGTTTAGCTGGTAGAGCACAAGTTATCTCAAATCTTGTGTTGGTTATCAAAATGGGAATAGATTGTGGCCAAGGAGTCATTTTCATGTGTTAGGAAGGCTAAATCATTTGGCCCAACTCAGTGCACAGTCCTGGCCCCAGATTAATGTTTTTGTGAGATACAGCAGATATGTATATATTTACACCTTCTAAAATGTAACATGTTGACCATTCATAGTCATTGTGAATATGTATTAAAAGTGTCCTATTGCCAGTTTTACCAGTTGATAAAAGATAACTGCATACACACTTGTGCTGTTATTTGTTTAAATGTGAGACATCAAGTGCAGAGAGGGTGAGGAAAAAAAAACCTCTAGCTTGCTGCATGGCTGCCATAGCAATTGTGTTTTAGTTATGGCAGTGCTGTTAGAACAGCATCAGTAAATGAAATTTTCACTCTATTACTGTGCAGCAGCGCCGGCAAATTCCACCTGGTCTGGAAAGCATTTTCCTTTCTTTTTAACATGATACCAAGGTATCAGGTGGTCGTGATTGACATTTCTTGGATAGAGCTTTATACGGCATTTCATGCAAATCATGTTCGAATGAGACTGCTGAATCAAATTACATTTTCCCTCCCTCCTATTACAGCCCCTGCAGATGTGCAACTGAGCTTTCCTGAGCATCTCTGGCAAGTTCTCTGTACGAGAATCTGCCATTTTCACAACTTATCTACATAGCCCTATTAGTATCTCCACAATAGAGCAACAAGACCTGTAAAGTACCCAGAAGATCAACTTCTGTGGCTCCACCCCTTCTGCCTATGGTGTCAGTGTCAGACTGGGAAAAGGGAAACGCAATTTACAGTGCAGGTGACATGATAACAAACATCCTCCATTTGCTGGGGAGCTTCTAATTAATCACTATTTCCATACATTATCACACTATCAAATTTAATCATATCAATGCATTCCCAGCTGCAGGAGGAGCAGCAGAAGCTAAACATGATGATAACACTTATTAAGCTAGGGAGAGGGGCAGGCTCTAAAATGAACTATCCTTTTCTGTCCTTCCCCCATGGCGCTTTGATAAATGGTAAAATCAAGCTGATGCCATGATTGCTCACATTTTGATTCAATTTGAACATTCACAGAAAATAGGCTTTTTTGAAACATCACAGAAAAAAAAATACAGATCCCCAAACATTGATGTATACGATATTTGCTTGAAAATTCATGCAGATAGTAGTAGAATTGAATATATTGTGACTTTTCTACTTTGTGATATCCCTGAAGTAGAATAATTTTTTGTTGGGTACCTTTTCCTTTAATCTGCAAAACAAGGGCTTTCTGGTCATAGGAAAGAGGCAGAATGAGTTTCAGTAGATATGGCTCCGTCAAGAAAAGAGGACCAGTATAGGTGTCACACAAGCAGACAGATCTTACACATTGAAGTCAAGTGATCTGTGAATAAATTATAATCAAATAGAGAGCATTACTTCTCAAAAGTTACTTTAAAGAAGAAAGCCTCCTTTTTTCCACTACTGCTGAATATTTGATTGTTTTTGTGCTGTCAGATATTAAAATATGTGACGTATGCAACTGTGAACATACACAAAAAATAAAATTAAAACAAGACTAAAGAGTGTAGAAATGGGTTAAATTTTTTAAAAAAACTGGGATTAGCTTTTAGACCCCTCTTAAGTTGCTCAGTTCTAACTGTTTTATGAAACTCCTCCAAAATCAGCAGTAATCTAACCTTGAAGCAACTACCCCATAAACTGGAAGCCGTAACAAAGTTCCCCTGATTTCACCTCCCACCTCCCCAAGCCTGCTTCTCACCCTCTGAAGATGGAGATAGTAACCAGTTGAGGTGAGCGCATAGACAGGATGGCTCCAAAGGTGTCCTCCAGACATTTAAGAGGCAAGCCTGATAGAGCTTTTAAGAATGAAAACAGTACTTTGAATTATAAACAGGAACGATGCCTCTAAGTTTGGAGGCAATCTTAGGTATGCTGTGTTTGATGATACCGAATGCAACTAAAAGATCAAATACGGCTAGGAGCAGGGTCACTCTGGTCCCAAAACAAGTCATCTACTGTGTTTTTGACAGATAATGCTTGATGAGTATTATATGCTGACAAATAAAAATATAGCAGTTCTGTATGTCCAGAAATCCTGGATAGTCATAACGGTTTTACCCCTTTCCTCTGCCTCCCATGGTCCAAATATCCCTAGTTCCAAATTCTTAACAAAGAACATTCTGATTATTGATTACTTTCGTAACTTAGCTTTGTTGTTGCTGTTATTAGTTGCGAAGTCGTATCCGAGCCATCGCAATAACTTAGCTAGTTAATGCTTTTTCTACTCCTCATCTTCCCAAAGGAATAATTCTCTTTGACCCACAAAGAATAATCTATAATAAATTATTGTTAAATTGGCATGGATGTGAGTTCATCTACTATAGTTCTCTATGGACGGTCATAGGATGAAATCACGTTATTCTGCTGACTGGACTGATTCCACAGTCCAAGAAGAAAATTCTTTAGTTCTTTCCCTTGTTGCAGCATCCCCCCTTAAAATGGATA